GCAGAAAAGGACCAGGCATGGTGGCTCACGCCTGTAATCCCAGCACTTTGGGAGACTGAGGCGGGCGGATCATGAGGTCAAGAGTTTGAGACCAGCCTGGCCAACATGGTGTAACCCCGTCTCTACTAAGAATATAAAGATTAGCCAGGTGTGGTGGCGCGTGCCTGTAATCTCAGCTACTCAGGAGGCTGAGGCAAGAAAATCACTTGAACCTGGGAAGCGGAGGTTGCAGTGAGCAGAGATCGCTCCACCGCACTCCAGCCTGAGCAACAGAGCAAGACTCTGTCTCAAACAAATAAAAAATTTAAAAAGAGCAGAAAAAGTTACAGTGATTTTTTTCCTTGGTAAAGCCTTAAGGTTTATACCAAAATCATAAGGCAGATGGCTGGAATAATACAAGATAAAGTTTACTCAACTTTATCAGTGGCTTCCCAGTAGGGAAGGGAATACAGAAGCTTCTTATGAGGGAGGTGGTTGTGTTGAGGTGACAAGGGCACTATACTTATGATCAGAAAAACTAGGACTGAGTTTTGTTGTTGTTCTTTAGGTTAGACAGGTGATGTGCTAATGTTGTAGCAAGGTTCAGAGGGAGGCACATATCATACCTAGGCATGAACACCAATTCATCATGCTCATGAACTACAAAAGGATTGAGTTTTACTTGGTCAATCACCATTTCTGAGCTTTGGGTATGTCATTCACTCTCTGAGTTTCATCCTTTAAAATGGACATGCCAATATCTGTCCCATAGAATTGTGTAGGGAAGGAACAAAATACTTTTTCCTCTACTCTTTCTGATTCTTAGCACAAAAGAGAGATTAACAAACATTTAAGTTTTACATGACATGGGAAGCTTCATAAGGAAGTGAAGACCCAAAGAAGCAGTTAAATATGTGCACTGTTTATAGTAGGCTTAATGAAGAGTGGACCATAGTGGAGAAATGTGATAGGGCAAAAAGGGTGTGCTCTAACGGTAAGAAACTGGGTGGAACTCAGCAAGTCCTGTTTGTTCACTTTTTAAAAAAATTTAGGGTCGGGTACGGCGGCTCATGCCTATAATCCCAGCACTTTGGGAGGTCAAGGTGGGTGGATCATTTGAGGTCAGGAGTTCAAGACCAGCCTAACATGGTGAAACCCTGTCTCTCAAAAAAAAAAAAATTTTTATTTGAAATAGAGAGAGGATCTTGCTATGTTGTCCAGGCTGGTCTCAAGCTCCTGGGCTCAAGCCATCCTTCTGCCTCAGCCTCCCAAAGTGCTGGGATTACAGACATGAGCCACTGTGCCTGGCCCTCTGTTTTTTTGTTTTTTGTTTTTAACACCAATAAGTAAGACCTAGAGTGTTGAAAAAAAGCATATTACTGATAGGGTAAGTGGTTACATAAACTACATTACATAAATTACATAAATATTTCCTGGAAGCTCTGGGCCTGTCAACTGCCTAGTGTGATTCCTCACCCTGCCCCATTCTGCATTGTGGGAAACTTTAGTTTGCAGGCTTCCTTGCTCTGTGAGTTTTGTATATTCTGCTGGGGACAGGCATGAGTGGATGGGTATTTCTTCTCCTGCCTCTCTGTGCTTCCTGTGATGTCTTCCACAGCAGTAGAGTCTCCTTCAAAGCTCTAACTCCCTCTGAAAGGCCCTCCCTCCATGGTTCAGACCCCGCAAGGGAGCCTCTATAATAGTTCTGTTTCCAGCCAGACAATCTTAGCTTTTCGGCTCTGAGAATAGCATCTCTTCCTACTGTCCCTCCAGCCCATGGGTGTTAGCTGATTCTTGCTGTCGCTAATCTCTGGGTTACATCACCACCTCGTTTGGCATCTCAGCTCTTCTCCCACTTTTGTAATCTATTTCCTGAATTAAATTCCCTTGGATTGAAAGAGTGGCTTCTATTGTCCTGACTTGATACGTCCTGATTTCATTCCTCTTCCACAGAAATGCTCAATTCCTCACTTTTGTTGTTGTTGTTGTTGTTGTTTTTGTTTTGAGACAAAGTTTTGTTCTTGTCGCCCAGGCTGGAGTGCAATGATCTCGGCTCACCACACCCTCCACCTCCTGGGTTCAAGTGATTCTCCTGCCTCAGCCTCCTGAGTAGCTGGGCTTACAGGCATGCCACCATGCCCGGCTAATTTTGTATTTTTAGTAGAGATGGGGTTTCTCCATGTTGGTCTGACTGGTCTTGCACTCCCAACTTCAGGTGGTCCGCCCGTCTCAGCCTCCCAAAGTGCTGAGATTACAGGTATGAGCCGCCATGCCCAGCAATTCCTCACGTTTATGGGATTATTTTTCTCCTTCACATATTTTCTTCTTCTTCTCTCTACTATGGAGGAAAACTAGCGTGGATTTGGAATCAGGCTGGGTTCAAACTTGGGTTCTATTATTTCAGAACCATATGAATTAGGGTAAATTGCTAGCTTATAAGTGCTGAATAATTGTTAAGTAATAAATGATATTTAACCATTACAATGCCTTGTGAAGATTTAAAACTTTTTTTATTTTAAAATTTATTTTTAAAGGACAGGGTCTTTCCATGCTGCCTAGGCTGGGGTGCAGTGGCTATTCACAGGCACAATCATAGTGTGCTGCAGCCTTGAACTCCTGGGCTCAAGAGCTCCTCCCACATCTGCTCCCTGAGAAGCTGAGGCTAGAGGTCCACGCTGCTGTGCCCAGCAAAAATTTTTGAGTGGTATAAATGCAAAGTATTAATATTACACCGTTCTAAAATGACTTATTTAAAAATATTTTCTAAAATTATGTATATAAAGAATTAGGTTTTCAGGAATACTACATTCTATGTGGTATTTGTTCAGACGTTAGCTTCATAGCATAGCAAGTCATGAGAGTTATTTTCTTTTGCTTTTATAACTCTATAGACTCAAACAACTATTACAATACTATCACCTTGTATGATTATTAACTCATTTACTGTTGTTATTGTTCTTCCTCCCTCCCTCTAGAATATAAATCTCACATAGTACTTGGCACACAGAAAGCTCTCAAGGAACACTTGTTGAGTGAATAAATATGCTATTTGATGACTTATGTGCCTGTGCCCTTAAACCTTAGCATGCATGGAGGACCTGAGCCATAGCAGATTTTGAATAAATGTTTGTTGCATTATGAATCCAATATTTAAATGAGTCCAAAGAGTTTAGCAC